GGGGGGGGGGAGTCTATAGAATTTCTATAGAATTATATAGAATTTCTATAGAATATAATTCTATAAAATATAGTTTCTATAGAAACGAATAATAATTTAATTACTATAGAAACCCTATTTTATAGAATTTCTATAAAAAAAATTCTATAGCATTTTCTATAGAAAATGTGCCATTTGAGGAAGTTGAATAAAAAAATTTAATTCTACTGATTTTTCCCATGTAATAATTGTGACTGGATCTTTTCTATTAGAAAAGTCAGTTGAATTATTTAGTAAAGCTGCTGAATTCTTTCGTACGTTTAACAGTGTCCCAACCATTTTATCAATCTTTGCTGTCTAGTCCTTTATTTGTGGATCTAACAGTATTCTATAGTCGTCTTCCACTACTCACTTTGTCAAATGATCCCCATCATCCTTCCACCCAACGTATTTAGAAATGGGTCCAAGTAATTTCTTCAAGAAAGCTGTGTATCTTTTATATCCCGAGCTCTCACCCAGCCTTTGTTTCCACGAGTGCAGATATCCGAGCGCCGTTGCCCATGGCACGTAATCACTCTCATTCATCAGATAAAGTGATAATCTCAGTGGAATAGTCGCATTTATTTCCCCAGCTTCGCAGAGAGTGAACGCGTCATCGATTAAATTCGCCCGATCGATCGGTGTGAATTTACGGTGATTTGTCATCAGAGTTTTTATTATGGCAGTCCACATCTCGTCCGGGTACAGCACTCTGTAGAAACCGGACTGATTCATGTTGAACTTTATGAATTCAGCGTTTTCGGGAATTTCGAAGGTAACTGGGAATCAAGAGAAAATATTTTTAGAAGGGCTTTTCAATTCTGAATTCGCCACGCACGAAAATGATTTATAGAAAAACCTAGCAAAGTAGCTAGATAATTCTATAGAAGTTCTTTTGGATCTCTGTTAGTTTTACGAATTTTTCGAGTCGAGACGAATTTTTTTTACGAGTTTTTTCTTCAATGGAAATGATCAATGGAAAATATTTTATAGAGAAAAATCAATAGAAATTGATTTTTTTAATGCAATTTATTCTATTGAAATATTTTCTATAGAAATTCTTCGACTCAAATTTTCTAAGTTTTTCTTGTTTGATTTTTTAATGAAGAGAGGAAAAAATAGAGTGGAAAAAATTAATGTCGGGGAATTAAAAAGTTTTCGTGCATGGGTGCATGTTCCTGATGAATGTAATAACACTAATTACCATCAGACATGTTCATCCAGACGGTGTAAACCCTCTGTGGCTCCTTGTCCGTGTAATAGGTCAACGGAACGTACCACTTGTAGTTGAAACTTGATTTTGATTGAGTTGTTTCGGTTTGATTATCTAGTGGGTAGAGTAAAAATCTCTTTTGGCTTGCAGTTATCAGCTTTCCCTCTCGACTTATCATTATGAGGGGAAAACCAGTCTGTTGGGTCCAAGTGTCCATAATTGCCTATTGACAAATGATAACGTTGGCTAATTGCATCATCATTTTTTAAATTGAATACAAGTCCCATTTTTGAATGGGAAAAATAAGAACGGAATTTGTGAATTTCTTGTATAGAAAAATAATTCAACGAATTATTCTTATAGAAAAATAATTCAACAAATTTTTATTTTTCTATAAAAAAAAAATAAAAAAAATAAAAAAATAAAAATTCGTTGAATTATTTTTCTATGGAATTTTCATTAAAAAATTGCAATAATAATTTGTCTAATTCCTATTCGCACTGAATAACATTCTACTCATAATTACAATTAAATTCCTTCTAGAACACACTTTAGAGTGTGAATTTCTGGAATTCAATGTTTGTTGATACTCTGGTAAAAGTGCGTGCCCCACACTATTATCAATTTTTAGTTAGTTCACACGGTAATTCAATTAATCTGTTGTTCATCTCCGTGTTAAGAATATTGTCATCTCGTGTTTTCAGCACCAAAATAAAAATTAAAACTTCATGTGGAATATTGAGTCACAGCTTCTTTTATTCACATCAGAAATTTTGTATTTGGATATTAATATTATTGGTTCAAAGTGAAAAAATCGATCATCATTTTCACTATATTGCATTCAGAATCTCCTATCCTTAACGTCAAAAATGTGAGATAATCTCATAATTCTAGCTATTAATTCTAATCAACTTTGTTCGAAGAAAACCTTAGTAAACGCAATATAAAGAAATCCGAATTATTCTATTTTCCTCTGACCTAAATGATTTGGACGATTATGATTCGTTTATTCATGTTTCATAGAAAGGTATTCAATTCTCTTTAGTTTGTTAGGCAGGCTTCATGAAAATGCGACGCATTATATTAATGATGAATAAAAACAACAAATAATAAAAGCAAAAAATTAATTGTGCATTAAAAAATGCGCCTGAAGAATAGAAATTGCCACAACTTTACCTTGACATCAAAAGTGTTGTTCGCATGCTTCGTGAAGACAGCCCACAGGTCATTGGTATCAGCATTCCCAAAGGCGTGGACATTGAGGTACTCATTCAGTCCACTTCTCAAGATGTCCTCCCCGAGGAAGCCCTCCAGCATATTGAATATCGACGCCCCCTTGGCGTAGCTGATGCTGTCGAAAATGGCCTCGATCTCCGCGGGGTCCTTGACGGGAACGCTGATGGGATGACTGGTGGCAAGAGCGTCGAGCCCCAGTCCCACTTGCGTCTTGTCCAGAACGAACTGATCCATGGTGCTCCACTCTGGTGACACGTTGTTGACCCCCGTGTACTCGAAGAAGCTCGCGGCCCCCTCGTTCAGCCACAGATCATTCCACCACTTCATCGTCACGAGATTGCCGAACCACTGGTGAGCGAGCTCGTGGGCCATGGCGAAGGCCACCCACTCGTGGGCAGCTGTCGATGTCTCGTCGGGATCGTAGAGAATCGCGGCCTCCCTGTAGGAGACCAGACCCCAATTCTCCATGGCACCCGCTGCCAAGTCCGGAATGGCGATGAGGTCTTGCTTCGGGAGGGGGTAGTTCACCCCGAAGAACGACTCGAAGTAGTCCATTGTGCGGACTGCTATCGTCAGGGCGTACTGCGCCTGGGAGCAGGAATGCAAAGTTCTTGTCATTTTTGGCATGTGCAACTGTCCGCTATTTTTGTATTCGACCTTTTTTTTCGACCATAGATCCAGGGTTGCCAGATTTTGGCGATATATAGCCAAAACCTGTACAATTTTAAATGGGGTGACGTCACGATCTGGTAATACTATAGATCGGCATCAATCATTAGTTTAGTAATATTATGAGAAGTTGCAGCTTACAATAATTAAAGTTTACTTATTTTTCATTGAAATTTGAAACTAAAATAATTGATAATTCCTATTTTTTTTTAATTAGTCTTTTACATTTTATTTGTCAATTGACTATTAGTATTAGTAAATATTTATAAATTTCATAAAAGGGATTTTTCGATTAGCCAAATAATCGTAAATCTTCCAAACTAATTTATTGATCGATAAAATAATTCAAAATTTGAATATTCAATTGAGGATCAATTTATTAATTAAAAAAATGTTTAGTAATGTTAACAGTTGACTTATTCAAAATTTACATTAATTGAAAATTTAGGATTATGGAGATGTCTGTTGTCGACATTTTCTGTCATTCAATTTTGAGGATTTTCTAAGAACTTGGGAGGACGGAGGGGTGGGGTAAAATGGAGCTATCGAGACGAAGAAAAAGTTGGGAAAGGATTGCGAAATGAATCAAGTAATCGTAGACTGAAATTCAGTTCTAGGTCTTTTCGAGGAAAACAAGCGGAAAATTGCTTTCGAATCAGCATATGCAATATATTTTTCTTCAATACTGGCGTGTAAATTGACCTGCCTTCTTTCCGTTGCGTCCTTACCTGGGAGAGCATCGACTCGGCGGCGTAGACACTCACGGAGATGTTCCTGGACGTCAGCTGGGAGATCCTCTTGAAGTCGCAGACAACGAAGGCCACGAGGTACGTCGACATCTCCACGGATTCTTGGAATTCGTCTCGCAACTGCAAGGGAGGGTTGCTCTATATTAGGGGGGTATATACTAATGTCTTCCGTTTTGCGTTGGAAGTATTGCCATATTTGGTTTTATGCGGGATGCACTGTCAAAAATTCTGTGAAATTTCAAGGAATTGAATCATTGAAAATTCAAAATTTTTGTGAAAAAATCAATGAAACCCGTGAATTTTAGTTCAATTCTTTCATGAAAATTGAACAATGTCGAAAAAATTTGGGTAATTACATTCTAGAATTCTCAGTTAATGAAAAATTCGGTGAATTTTAGTACCAAATTTCATGATTTCTTGCCCTCAAAAACAAATTCAATGTCACTCTCCTGAGAATTACTAGTGAATTGTCCATCGGCTGTATAAAAAAAGATAATGAGGATGATCATAGTAATCATTAAATGATAACAATTGGATTAAGTTGAGGAACACAGACAATGAATTGAAATGGATATGTAGTAGAAATGAATAAAATAATATGAAGGGATAAATTTGATGTACAATTGAAAAAATGATGTACAAGATGACCATTCGGAAACATTTCTAATTTATTAGCAAAAATGACTAGACAATATCAAGACCATAGTAATTCCCCACTTGTTTGATGATAATGTGGGAGTCTGAAGGGAAGGGGGTGGGAATGGTCAACTCCGAGCCTCAAATTCTTAACCCGAATGGTGATTGAATACAGAGAAAGGAAATGACCCTCGATCTTATAGAAACACTAAACACGAATTCGCTAAGAAATTTTATTGAATTTCTATTGAAAAATTAGACAGCTTTTCTGCAGAGACACTTTCTATATCAATTCCTAAAAATAAATTTTCAATTTTCTTCTCCTCTTATTAGCAAAAATCAAACGAGAAAATTCTGTGGAAAATATCTCAGGAAAATAAATTGTACAGAAAAATAAAATCCCATTTATTTTCTGTATAAAATAGTTTCTGTTGACCATTTCTATAAAAAAAAAAAACGGAAACAGAAAAGCTCTGGAATTTTTCAATAAAAATTCAATACAATTGTCTTGCGATTTCACTATTAAAAATTTCTATAAAAATTTTTCGTGCGTGATATTATTCACAACGGTTTAAATTCGATCCTCCGTGCATTCAGAATCTCGTCACCAATGGAATTGATAGAAATAAAAATGAATCAGCACATTCGACTGAAAATATTATAAATGGAGGCAGTAAAATCATTTACGACGAGAGCACTCACCAGTCCTGTGCCCATATAAAACCCAGCATCCTCCGTGTTGACGATCGGCATATTGCACAGTGCTATATGAAACCTGTCCCTGAATATCGATACTTTGAATTTCGCTTTGTAGTGGGGTTCGTCGAAGCACGGAAATGCCGAGCGAGCGTATGTCGGCTCAAAATGGGTTGTCGCCAAGTATCTGCACATAAATCGGCAGGGGAAAAAATACAAATCATTATTGGGTGCAATTTGAATTTTTCGAACTTCGGAAATGGGAAAGTATCGGGTAATTCCGGGATTTTGTATGGAGGGCCCTTCATCTGCTTTAATTTAAATTTAACCCCTTTGAGACATTTAAGCTATTCAATCCCTGTCAGATTCAATATTCCTTTTTTCAATTAATTGTTTATAATCATTCTCATTGCAAAAATTAACGTGACCGATGAGAATCATATGTCCCAATTTATCAGCTGTTAAATTTTCGAATTCCTACGCTCACTGAATACGATTTTAATCATAATTACAATTAAATTCCTTCTAGAACACACTTTAGAGTGTGAATTTCTGGAATTCAATGTTTGTTGATACTCTGGTAAAAGTGCGTGCCCACACTGTTATCAATTTTTAGTTAGTTATTGTCGTTCATCTCATCAATATAATCCCGTGCTTAGAATATTGTCATCTCGTGTATTCAGCACCAAATTAAAAATTAAAACTTCATTTGGAATATTGAGTTACATCTTTTTATTCACATCAGAAATTTTGTATTTGGATATTAATATTATTTGTTCAAAGTGAAAAAATCGATCATCATTTTCACTATATTGCATTCAGATTCTCCTATCCTTAACGTCAAAAATGTGAGATAATCTCATAATTCTAGCTATTAATTCTAATCAACTTTGTTCGAAGAAAACCTTAGTAAACGCAATATTAAGAAAGTAGAATTATTCTATTTTCCTCTGACCTAAATGATTTGGACAATTATGATTCGTTTATTCATTTTTCATAGAATGGTATTCAATTCTCTTTAGTTTGTTAGGCGGGCTTCATGAAAATTGGACGCAAGACGATTGCTCTCATGAAAACCGCCTTACTCTCTCCATTGCTTCGAGATATGGCCCATATTTATACCCTTAAAATTAAAAGATTGTCAATCTATATTCATTTAGGTATTCATAAAAAATGGGGCGTTAAATATACGAAACCTGATACCTGTTCTCTCCTTCTGCCGTCTTATAAGAACTCAGATAAAATCCCTCGAGTTCGGTCGTTAATCTCGAAATGAATCTCAAGTGTAATGTGTAATTCCCTCTTTTCCGGAATTTACTCTCCTCGAGTTCTAGGTACAGCTGCTGATGCGCCGGGTATTCCAGCAATTTTGAGATCTTCATCTCGTGGCCTTTACGATTCACCACCATCTGGAATTATTTAGGCATTAGGGGTCGCTTAAGTGAGCTCAGGATTTTTATTCGTTGACCGAGACTACTTACTCTGTCTGTTATTGTCAAGTTTTTACTGTGGAAGACGATAAAATTGGTCTCTCTATCGACGTAAAATTCAATAGTTACTTGTCCTGAAGTAATAAAACGCACATTAATTAAATACAGAAGAAATAATCTGCGACAATTAATTCATTATTCATGTATTCCAACAATAAATCCCGAATAAAAAATATTTCTTCTCCCGTTCAACAATTGCTAGTGCAGTTAATTAGCTGTTGCTTTAATTTTTTCTATTTGTGGATTTTTGGAGACGTATATTATTATTTATATTTACCTTTGACCTCTAGGGTTGTTAAATTGGGGTGAATAGTTATATTGTATCTAGTTGGATGCGAAAACGCGGGTAATCTAACGTTGTCCCAGGGAAATATCTGTGGACGTGAGAGTTTTCATTAAAAATCAATTAACCGTATTAATCAGTCAGTGAATGAATCAACGACTGGGGTTATACCTCTCCGTTAGTCGCCATTGGCTCTGCCCCAGCACTATCATCCTCGACCTCCAGATTAGCAGGCTTTTCACCCGCGCATGGACAGTCTGCATAATCAGTAGTGCAAACAAAATTTCATTCAACGAGAAAATTAGTGAATTGATGATTAATCATTTCATCGGATAGAATGTGATGAAGGTCAATTTTAAGAACGGAAAATTCTACGACATATTCCTCACAGAATAATTACTCCACCCCTGCGGTTCACCACCTCATCGTCCTTCAAATCAACTGAATCGAATTTTTTTCTCACCATTTTGTGGTCCCGCAAAAGCGATGATGAGTGATATGGCGAATAGAATAGCAAGAACGACTGTTGCGATGCACAACGCGCGCTTCTGGGAACATACAGCCACCCCATTGTGCTCGTACAAGCTCCTCTTGTGCAGTCCCGTGTTACTGTCTCCTGAAAAACATGTTTTTTCCCTTAAACTAACGAGAAATTCGTCAATTACGTCCGCAGAAATTTAAAAAATTCCTGAAAATAATTGCGTGGCCATACGCAAAAATATATATTCTGAAAATTATATATTTTATGTATGGAATTGGCCTAATTTATACATAAAAGTCATATAAAATATATATGAAGCATATAAAAATTTATATTTTGTATAACTTTTATGTATAAAAGTTACATAAATTTAAATAATGTTTATGTATAATATAATAACGTTTTATGTATATGTTTATAAATTTGCATATGCTTCATATATATTTTATATAAATCTTATATATATTCGAATATATTAAATTGGCCTATATATATTTTTTTTATATATTTTTCCATGGGGGTGTTCTGGGATTAAAGAACAGTTTCTCGACTAGGACTACCATGTACATATTGAAAAATTTCAATATTTAAGATTGACTTCTAAGAGGATTAAACATTAACAGTAAAATGATCTTCCTCATGTTTGACCCTCGTAAGGGTCACGAGCTCAATATTGACATTCTATATATGGAATAAACATTTAATTAAGCAATTATATCTGTATGCATCAAATTTGATCCTGTAACTGGCATTATTTTGTTAGGGTTATATACAATGAATAAATGAATAAATGAATAAATAAATAAATAAATAAATAAATAAATAAACAAATAAATAAATAAATAAATAAATGAATAAATAGAACACTCTCATGCAGAACAAAATACTGCCTCCCCGATCGATGCGCCGATTTTTTGGGTCAATACCACAATGTTTTCATTATTTTCCACAAGGACTCGGCTTTCAATTATAAAAAAAACCTCGCGACGCGACTCCACTCAACAGTTACGTTAAACTTTTTTACGGTTTGTACATATGTTTGAATGTAAAAGGTTGTGCATTCGATTCAATCGTTCTCATAAAAACTTTACACACACGCTCTCACCACTTGACCTGATTCCCTTTTTTTCGCGACCGTGATTCAAAACCCTTGATGCACACAAGACCACTCGTCAAGTTTTCACATGTATTTCTTTTTATTTTTGTTGACGAATGCTCGAAAGTAAAATTCTTCGGATGAACTACATTTTTTTTCTATTTTCAAGACGAGTAATGGAATGCATCAGTATTTATGCGGTGGGAGAGTATTTTTAAATCGTGTTTTTTGTTTCACGATGTCTCGATTTTTATTGAATCTTGTTATTCTTGAATAAAAAAAAAGTCAAAATCAATTTTTAAATCCAGACAATTTTATTTTAAAAAATCGGGATTTAAAGAGATGAGAATTTTGAACAGGAAAGATGAAATATTCTCAATTAGAAATAAATATGTTCTTTGAAACAGATACACCAGTATTTTTAACCAAGGCCGGAGGGATTTAATCTCCATTATGAGAGGTTTGGTCCTCATGAGGGTTTAATCCTCATGCGGGTCAAATTTTTATTTGATTACTATTGTTGGTGACGATAACACTAATGATTTTCAACTTGGAATTATTTCATTTGTGTGATAAGCGCTGGAAGTTCAATATTTACATTTGAGCTTTATGAGGATTAAAAGTTCGAAGTTGAGAATTGACCCTCACGCACCTCAAATAAAAACAAAAATTTCAATATTTAAGTTTGACTTCTAAGAGAGTTAAACATTAACAGTAAAATCATCTTCCTCCTGTTTGACCCTCGTAAGGGTCACGAGCTCAATATTGACATTCTGGTATTTATACCGGGTTTGACCCTCATGAGGGTAAAATTCTCAACTGATTAATGTTGCTGATAACAATATGAAATTTGAATCGAAATTATTTTATCTGGGTGATGAGCTTCGGGATTTTATTATTTATTTTTGACCCTCATGAGGGTTCCTCAACCTTTACATTTGGACCCTCATGTTAATTATTTCAATTCAAATTTTATATTGTTATCAACAATATTTTGACCCTCATGAGGGTCAAACATTGTCAAAATATTCTTGACATTGCTACTATTGATCTTTGACCCTCATGAGGGTTCCTCAACCTTTAAATTTGGACCCTCATGAGGGTCAAACATTGTCAAAATATTCTTGACATTGCTAATATTGATGTTTGACCCTCATGAGGGTCTAAATTTAAAGGTTGTTGGACCCTCATGAGGGTCAAACATTGTCAAAATATTGTTGACATTGCTAATATTGATGTTTGACCCTCATGAGGGTTCCTCAACTTTTAAATTTGGGCCCTCATACCACTCAAACACCAACATTGAAATTTTGGTCCTCATATACAGTTATACCATCACAAGGTTCTCTCAATTTTGACCCTCACGAGGGTCAACCCTCAATATTGAACTTTCACAATACTAATATTTTCAACCCGTCAAACCTCATAATTACCACCAAATCAACCACCATCCTCCCCATCACTACAAATTCCCCTCCCCGAAGAATGCACCCGAACACTATTGATCCTCCCCACGTGCTCTGTTCCAAAAGTCACTCACCCCTCTCCCCCAGATGAAAAAAAATGGTCACATCCTTACCCGTGAGGAAGGCAACATCATCGACATCCTGTTCGCTCATAGCGAAAGAGTTAGGTGGTGGTCTTCGATAAACAAAACCCTTCACCTCACCGTCGTTGGACGCATACGCGACTTTAATAAGGGGCTCCCTCTGTTCAGCCAGAATAATTACCGAGGCCCCAGCGTCCCCGTGATTCCCGATGAAAAAATCAAAAAATCTCACACCACGCAATCCTCACACCACCTCTGTAACTTCACTCGTGAAAACTGGCATAACTGACATGATTGAAGTGCCCAGGGACAGCCTCGTGTAATACCAGGTCACTGGGTTGTGCTACCACCATATCACAATACTCATACATATATTTTTTTTTTCTGCGATTCGATCCGTGGGTACCTAGTGCGCAACACTAATGACGCTCATCACTCCTGCCAAAAGTGCGGAAAATAAAAGAAATAATAATGCGAATCGAGTGGGGCATAATCAGTGATACGAGTAGATGAAATTGGATACGTGTATGGAAAAGTCGGATCTAACTGTATGATTTCTGTACTCGGTGAGAGTACACACGTACTCAGACATTACATATAACATTTGGGAGTGATATTAGAGACTGACAGCAACTGCAGAGGTGAGCAGAAATGGCGGACGGTGAGGGGACATGGGAAATAGGGGATGGGAGTTTTTCCCCTTCACGGCGCAACCACTCGTGGAGACTGGGGGGATGATTTTCGGGGGAGGCTGTGTAGTCTCGGGGGGTTGTGTGTGTGTGTGTGTGGGTGCTGTGTACGCTGGTTCAACTGGGCTTTGGGGGATTGTAACGGTATAAATGGGGGATGGTTGAGGGGGTGGGTGGCGCCATCTAGGGGAGGGTTGGGGCGGTGTGAGAGGGGTGGAGGAGGGTTTTGCCGAGGGTCGGTTAGACTGTTCTCTTCAGTTTGATTATTGGGGTTGGTGGTAATTGTGAGAGGGTTTTGGGAGGGTAATGAGAGGTAGGTTTTTTGGGTTGAGGTTTGAACCTCGTGAGGGTCGGAAGTTCGAGGCTGAGGGCTGGCGCTTATGAAGGTTACGAAAAGGCTGGAAGTTCAGTAATGAGGTTTGACCCCTGTGAAAGGTATGAGGGTCGCAAGTTGATAATTAAGTTATAGAAGGTTTGACCCTCATGAGGGTTTGATCCTCGTGAGCCTGAAATTCTCAGTTGATTATTGTTGTTGGTTAAGATAATCATAATAAATTGAAATGATTTTATTTGGGTGATAAAGGTTGGAATTGGGGTATTTACATTGGAACCTCATGAGGGTCAAAAGTTCGATTCTGAGGGCTGGCCTTGATGAATCTTATATATTGATTAGAATTTCAATGTTTAGGTTTGACGCCTGTGAGGGGCATGAGGATTGCAGGTGGATATTGGAGTTTCGGCCATTATAGGGGGTTTGACCCTCACGAGGTTCAAATTCTCATGGGGGTCAACAATCAATATTGGAATTTCGGTCCTCATATAGACTTTTAGATTCACCAACGGTAAACGTCATTATTTACGTTTCGCCCAGGTTTCACCCTCATGAGGGCTCGAACCTCATGAGGGTCAATAACCCTAATTTCATCCTTATTGTCGATATAAATATTAAAATTTCACCTAAAAATGGGGGTGCTTTACTGGACCCATAATAGGATTACAGGGGTTGGAGAAGGGTTACCCTTTGGATATTGACATTTGACCCTCACGAGAGTGGAATAAAATGGACTGTCTTTGTTCGTAAAAATCTCCTCATCAAATGATCCGATTTAGATGAATCAAATCTCATTTCAAAGGTTATAAAAATACCTGAAAAATGGACAGAAATTCATCAAATTTCCCTTTCTCATTCTTGAGCAACTGGCGATAAAAAGCGGTCCTTTTGACTCGACTCTCCCCCACTAACGAGTTGATTAATAAACATCACGTGGGTTTAATTAAGTGGATCCAATCAAAAGGGATGAATTTTTTTTTCGTGGGGAGTGCACTTGTACTCCCAAAGGACTGAGAGTAAACCCCGGACTCTCATTTTTGTGAATAGAATGGAGAAAGTTTTGAAAATTTAGTCGCATTTTCAGCGTAAAGAGCGTGAGAGTGAACCTTGGATTGGGAATCGATCGGCGTCTGCCGAGAAGGGGTGTCGCCCCTTTTCAAGCTCAACTGTCTCACTCTCCATTTCTCTCGCTCCTCTCCCTACTATAACCACTAACCATTGATCACATTAGTCCTGCCGGGGACGTTGGACTTTGCCGATGCCGACAAACCCCTTCAGTGATACTCGTTACTCGTGGATTTAACGTCTTAGCTTGGCATCTTTCAACACTTCTCCGTCATCTGCGATTTAAGCCGATTATTCATTAAGACCTTTCTGATCACAATTATCGTATTAGGATCTCATGATTAGGTTCATGAATATTCTTAATTGACGTATGGAAAGCTTGAGGAGATGTTGTGTCATTGAATTGCTTGAGAAATTTCAGATGAGATGAAAACGGTTGATGTTAACTTTCAACCCTTATGAGGGCCATATGAGGGTCACAATTATGAGAGTCATAAAATGTCGAATTTAAGCCGTATGGAGGTCAATATTTTGATCTTCACAGTCGAGCCTTGTGAGGGTCTTGATATTCATATGGACAGTCGACCCTTATAAGGACCAGATAAGGGTCACAATTGGGAAGGTCACGTAAATGTCAAACTTGAGCTGTATAGAGGTCAATATTTTAATCTTCGCAGTTGAACCTTATGAGGGTTAACATGCCGATATTGACATTCGACCCTGATAAGGGCCATGTAAGGGCGAAAATTATGAAAGTCATATAAAAGTTGAAAGTTCAATGAAGAGTAATGACGATATGCATGAACAGCCCTCATGAGGTTTATCTAAGGCTCAGCCCATTGATATGGACGTTTGACCCTTATGAGGGCATATAAGGGTCAAACATAATGAGGGTTATCACTTCAAAGAGGTGATATTTGATACTCATTGCTGAACCTTGCGAGGGTCAAAATATGAAAATTAATTTTTGACCCTCATGAGGGTCATATAAGGGTCAAGTAACTTTGCTATGGAGTCTAGCTCGCAATTTCAGGTGAAATCAAAACTAAAGACGACATATTCTTCGGTGAAAACCCCAACATCAACAGAAGCATCGTAATTTTTACTAGACCTATTGCACTGAAAAATGCGTCCTTTCGCTTGGTTTCAGCTAAAATTTCCTTTTATTTGAAAAATTTACTTTCCCAATTTTTTTTTTCAACACTGAACTCTTGAACTTGTGACCCCTCGCGTATTTGCGGTAGATCGTAGCCCTGCGCATCCCGTTGACTGACGACATAAATTATTCCAACTGCTCTCAACTCTTTCTTGCATCTGCCGGAAAAAGGCGGAATGCTACCGCTCGTTTGACGTCCCTTTGTCTCGGCTTTTTTTCATTCGCACGCCACTGCTCCCTAAACCCAGAGAGTAGGAACACGGTTCTGGGTAAAGCACGTGATACCCTTGGGCTTGCTCACGAAATCTACACGCATTTGGGACTCGTTAGCCTGGTGACTTTGCAGGGGGAAGGAAGGTGCGATCGATTTGTAGGTACAGGTCACGATACCTGGTCTGTGCTACTCTCGAGTGGATTTTGGGCGGTGTTATGGAGGCAGGAGTCGATGGATTTGGGTGAAGTCGATTGATTTGAGGAGCAGTTGAATTGAAAAAACATGAAACTGTTGCGCTACATTTCGGTTTTTCTCCTGACCAATTGTTACGAATTGAGTAATGAGGGCTCACGTCTTGATACTCAGGTTGAACCCTTTTAAAGGTCATGTAAGGGTCAAAATGTCAAGATTGAAATTTGATAATCATGAGGGTTTAGATCTTGATATTGACGTGTCACCTCATATGAGGGTCATGGAAGGGTCAAATACCTATGGGGTCATCGCCTTGTAAGGGTCAGGATCTTGATATTGACATGTGAACCTTATGAGGGTCAAATGATAATATAGATATTGGCCCTTATGAGGGCTCGCTCTCTATTGGTATTAGACCATCATGAGGGTGCCATGAGGGTCGAAATTATAAAGCTGCTACAACAGATGAAATTTAAGTCAAGATTAATGAGGGTCTTAATCTGGATATTGACGGTTTAACCCTTATGAGCATTATATAAGGGTTAAAAATTCAATATTGACCCTCATGAGGGCCACGTAACGGTCGGTATTATAAGAATGTTGTAGGAATCAAAATTCGTCAAGATGAGTGAAGGCCTAAATTGCAATGAAGACATTTTACCCGTATGAGGATCATGTAAGGGTCAAATTTGACCCTGAAGGCTCGTGTAAGGGTCAAATGCATATATTGAAGGTTTGACCCTTTTGACCTATAAGGGTCATATCAGGGTTAAATATATATACTAAAGTTTTGACTCAAAACCCCATTTTGAACCTCATAAGGGTCAAAACTTTAATATATACATTTGACCCTTACGAGGTTTAAAATGTGGTTTTGGATAATATTCAGATCAAATCTAAGAAGTTGAAATCTCCACTATCTCCTGACCAAGCAACCTGAATCAATCTTTTTTTTCTCTTTAAACCTTCAAAAAAAAATCTCAAAAATAAAATAGAAATAGAAAAAATAGAAAAAAAATGGAAATCATTGAAATTCACTCTGCAAATTTCCCCATCTCGACGATTAATTTTACCTCCCCCATTCCTACAGAACTACTCGTCTCACCTGACATCTCAGGGACTTCCGTATTGGCAATGCCGTTTTGCCCCGGACTCCGTGAGCTCGATGTCCGCCCAAGCGGTTCCATTCGAATAGCCTCACTGCTCTCCCGCGTCGAGTGCCCCGGCATTTTCCTCCCCTATGTCCGCCCCTTTGTACTAGTCTCTCTTCTTTGGCTCGAGTCAAATTCAAGTGAAAAATTTGACAAAAATCACAGATGCATTCTCTCCCGGTATTTCTCCCCCTCAATTCCCTCGGAATTCATTTCAATATTTAATTACTTTGTGCTCCAATTCCTCAGTAGAATAGTACAAAATCACATGGGTCCAGATGATCATAGAACAGTCTTGTCTTTGTCTAATTTTTTTTCTGCTTTCGCGGAATACTTTCTACCCGACGTTTGGTCCCTTTTGAATATTTTCTTTTGGTACTCTCTATTTTTCTATGATCTCCAACTACTCTCGGTAGCTCTCCTCCCTTTAATTAATGAGTACAGCTTCGAATTCTCTTTTTTATCCTTCTTTTTCCATTCATGTTCACTTGTGGAGGGGAAAATATTCATTCTGCATGGCTCATTCCTTTGTTTCACATGTGTTTTTTGAGTCTTCGGTAACACAGTTACGTTTCATTATGAAGTGCGATTGTGACTTGGAGGTTTCTGGAAAAATGAGGGTTTTATTGAGTTAATGACAGAGCAATTAGGCCTGGGGTTTCGCGGGGTGAAGAATCAGGTGAATATTACTTCTGAATGTCAGTAATTATGAGCTCTGGGGAATTTCTATAAAAATTTGAGTGGGAAACTGTTAATTTTACGCAAATTGTTGTGACTTTTATTAGAATTATTGCATTTTCTGGTAATTATGCCTGTAAAAATTACAGATTTTAGAGAAATTATTCAGGATTTTTAATAATCATGAGCTCTAGGCAATCTTTATCAAAACTACAATAAAAAAATCGGGAATTTCACTTATATTATTGCACTTTTTCTACAGTTGTTGCATTTTTTTACAGTAAAATATGGGATTTTATGGGATTAATGACAGAATAATTAAGCTTGGCAGTTCAGAGAGGAAAAAATCTTTTGGAAATTATTTCTGTCATGTTAATAATCCTTCCCAGCAGTTTTTACTAAAATTCCAGTAGAAAAACAGCAATTTCACCCAACATATTGCGTTTTCTTGGATTTATCGCTAAAAATTCGGGATTTCCGTCAAATTAATGAGAGTAATTAATTTTGGCTATTTAGGAAGAGAAAAATCCACTGAAAATCACTCCTAAATCTCAGTAATTATGACCCTTCAGCAGTTTTCTCCAAAATTCAGGTGGAAAATCAGGCATTTCACCCAAACTATTGTAAATTTCATTGAGCTCATTGTATTTTCTACTAAAGATTAAAAAAAATACAGGCCACACGATTATTTAAATTCAGGGGCAACGAAATAAAAATATCTCAAGAAATTCTCATCAACAATCAATTTTAAATACTTTATCGATTGATCTTACTGAATCAAACTACCAAAATCCTATTTTATCTATGTTCAATACCTTTGGACGAAGAAATAGTCCTGAACATTTCAATAAGTAATTCACTATCTCCTTCTTTCACTCAATTTATTTTTCACCGTCTCCCATAGCTCTGGAGATATTTATCAACTAATCTTGAACTTGAGTTAATTCGTCTATTCTCACAACTTCCCACCTAAACTGCGGATTTACTACTGTCTCTCGTGCTTACATAAAATTAGCCCGAGGTTTTCACTCGCTCTAGGCACTTCTTCTGAAGTTGCGAGTCTATTTTTTGGCGAATGAAGACGCTGAATTCAAGTGCCAACTATTCCACATCCCAAATACGTCGACTTACGTTCGAAATATCATGTAACCCATCAACTGTAATACTCTGTCATCTACATCGGTTTTGTTCCAGCGGCGTTTATTCAAGCCTAGGAAATCCGCAGATTATGTAACTTATTGGCTAGACACTTTGTTTATCTCATCGTTCATCCTTCAATTTGTAATTCTATCCGTTAATACAATACAAGGAGAAAAAGATGAGTGATGTCCTTCAAAGGCCAGGAAAATTTGTACAAAATTTTAACAAATAAATTACAAAATTTAAGAAAATATGTAAAAAAACATGTATTTTTGTATTTTTAAAAATTATTTTTAAAAAGATTCATTTTTTCTTTTATTTTTCATGAATTATAGTCCACAAATTTTGATGAAATTTTGAAAAATTTATTAGCAATTTTAGAAATTAATTAATAAAAGTTTTCATGAATTGATAAAATGAAAAAATTAATTTGATTAAAATTTTCTAATGCAATTTACAAGCGTTTTTCCATTTCCAACCAATGAAGTCTGTATTTGGAATGGGAAAACATTTGTTTATATTCGAATAACTATTCAATTTAGATGAAAATGAAGTTGAGATGCAATTAATAATTCCTTTAAACCTATTTAATTTGAATAAACCCATTAATTGAATGAAAAAACATTCGTCTTGACATTGATATCCTTAAAAATGTAAAAACAAAAATTGCAACGAACTAGCTGACAATTCAAAAAAATAATTTATAAAAGTTCTCATTAAGTTCGACGAAATTTTTTAATGAAATTTCAAGAATTTCTCCACTGGAACCAATGAAGTTTAGAACACCAAAACATTTGTTCTATTATTGAAAAACTGTTAAATTCAAATAAAATTAAACTTAAAACGCAAATAAAAATGCAATTGAACCCTTTCAACTCGAATAAACTCGCTAATTACCTAAAAAAACATTTCTCCAGCCGTAAAGACCCTCAAAAATGCAAAAACACGTGGTCCCCCATCCCCACCCCCGCCTGATCCCCAAACGCGTCGCCCAATCACCCCATTTCGTTTCCAAAATCGATGAAGCCTCGAAACGAGTCTAATCGAATGACAGACCATGCACTCTCCCAGCTAAATTACCCGTTAATGCCATTAAAACCACCGGCTGCGGATGCAAAATCCCCAGTCTCCATTTCGTCGCTGAGACAATAGCCCTCACCTGAAAATTCCTCCCAACCGAGAGCCTCCAAACAACTCCGGAAGATAAATCACTCGACAATTGTCTCCTTTACTTGCGGAATCGACTGCCCCCCCGGGTTTATTGATTAATTATTCGGGCAGTGATAAGCCGAATGCTAATTGCCATAATTACCATAATAATCTCCCCTCACAGCCCCGAGATTCGAACTGGCGGGTGGACTCGACTCACCTATTCCACGACGAACGAATGCCTCTGACTAGTGGACGAACGTGAACGCAAGTAAATAAACAAAAACTGTTGACTGTAAACTACAATAAATAATCTGCTTGCGACCGGGGGTGAGCCGGCGTTGATGTAAGCGCTCGGACGGTGAGAGTGCCACTGAGTTTGAGAGTTGAGCGTGGGTGAATATCCGGACGCAGGGAGGCGCGACCGTCAGGATCAGCCACAGGTTGCGCGGTTCTGTTGTGTTCAGCATCTCGGCGCTTGCACAGTGAATGCAGTGTGTCACGCGGAGGGGTCTGAAGCCGAGGGTGCGTCGGATAACTTCGATAGAATAAATAAAAAATATTGGTGGCTGGAAGCTGACGATAAATATATGAGAACTCGCTGCTCGTAAAATATTGTACAAAAAATTGAACAGGAATAAAGAGAGACAAAACAAACGATTTTCTAGGAATTATTTCCGTCCTCCATTAGTATTATAACTTGAACAGTATTTTTTACACTAATAAAATAACTATTATACGATTTATAAAGACTGGGAAAGGAAAGAAGTATAAACAATTATAGCAAAGATCTTTTGTTTCCTAGTTCTTATTATTACTGATTTATACCAATAAAAAACACTTATTTTTGTGATCTACTACCAAATATTTCACGTTATGTAATTGAGTAATTACAATAAAATTTATATTTTTCTCCTGCGGATACGCTGTTGTGCCTTTTTTTCTTTCTACATATAGCAAAACATTGTTACTTTTTTTTAAGCACATGAAAAAGTTGAGACTTTTGAATATTAACTGCAAAAAGGTTGGCATTTCAACCAAAACAGAATATTATTACGAAATTTCATTCTCGAATATTAAATAAGCTAGAGAGTCACTGATGGACCATAAGTTTAAACATTCTGTACAAGATGCGAAAATAAAAGTTTTTTGATTCTAGTTTTTAAGATATATATATATACTGTAAATACTGATTGTTTAACGAATAAAAACCTTGAAAATAAAAAAACAAGCCGAGGGTGCGTACCCCCATAGAGCCATTTATTGTCGGTCACCCCTCGGTGCCGGGTTTCGTCCCCCCGGAGCTGGGAATCACGCGGGGATTTTTTTCAGTTCTCAGGAATTTTCGAACGGCGATCAATAATTTTGGGGAATGCGGGGGCGGGCGGGACTTATGTCGTTCTACTCGTATGAAATTGGAGGGATCATTTTAGGGGGAGCAGAGGTTGGCAGAATCATAATGCAGGGTTGGAATTCAGTAGCGAAGTGGTAAAGCGGTGCACGTCGGTTTTGACTATTGACCAGTTTTCAATGAATATCTCGGAATCTGAGGGAAATAGAAAAATTTTTGTTATAACCTTTTTTGTAGGGCCGGTTGAGGGCTACAACAAATGTGGTTACGAAAATTTCGCTATCTCCCTTAGATTCGAAAATATTCCTCAAAAACTCAACTGGGAGATGAGGCGACTTGAGCCGTTTTACCACAGTTATGTAATCAAAACTGTTTTTATTCAATAAATTCATGAGTTTATTCACTAAAAAAAATTTCCGGAAATGCTCTCAAAACAAAGAAAATTCTTATCGGGAATTAGCAAATAGTAAACACGATAAATTTCCATTCGGAAAATTTCCAAAGGAAAATTATTAAATTGTTGAACGCAGAGAAATACTATTTACAGTAATTCTCATTTATAATCCATCGAATGCGCGAAATTCTGTTCGAAATTTTATTTGGAATGCTTTCTTTGAGTTCGATTTCCCCAAAAATTGTCTAAGACGTAGAACCGCACTGCTTGAGGATAGATCACTCAATGAAATATGTTATCAGAGTCAATTCTAGATAACGCGGCTGTCAGTACTGGTTCGGCTGGAAAACTTCAAGTCCACTCGTAGAATTCGTGAGTTCAAGAGTGTCGAACATTAGAGTCCAAAATGATGGGCGTAAGTACTCTCCACCATTCCTCCACCAAATAAAACTACAAATAGCGAAGAGTCTGAGGTAAAAAACATCCCTCGATTCATTTATTCATGACATTATCTCTGATGCAGATGTTCTTTCATTTCGGAGTGACGGAGACTGCCATTCTATTCTCCAACTGGCGGACGGATGATTGGCAGGGCATTCTCGGTTCGATGATAGGAATTATTCTTCTCGGGTCGATTTACGAGGGTCTGAAGAACTACAGGTACGATACCAGGCATCAAACAATATCTCAATTTTCGGATAAAAACGTTTAGATGAAAAATTAGTAAAAATTAAATTTAAAAAACTCGCGTTTTTTCATTAATTCTATTAAGGGGAGACTACTATGAGTTTTAAAAGTGGTGGGTTATTGGAGTGAGACTTTTCATACGTTGAAGATCGATTATATAAATTTAAAAACGAATAATTAGTGCAAAAAAATTTTTTTTATCGTTCGTTTGCCCGAAAACGCTTAAAATGCCAAAAACTGTCCAGGGCCTCCAATTTTTGAGCTACGAAAGATTATTCTTTTTCAAAATGTTCGGAAAAATATGTGGAATAACAATTATGCGCTATTTTTTTTTAATTCGCCTCTTACATGGTTCAATTTTCTTTTTTTCAATTTTTTTACACAAATAGTGAATTTTTTTATATGAAAAAACACGGAATCAGGTGTGTCTCACCCATAATCTCACTCTTCCATTTTAATTCATCAGAGAGAATCTATTCCTTCGAACAACTCTGATGAACCGTCATGCGCTGAAGAAGCCAACTCGAAGGAAAGCCCTTTTTTCCGCTATTCATCTACTCCAGACACTCCTCCACATGATGCAGTTGATACTCGGATATTTCTTGATGTTCATATTCATGACTTATAATGTCTGGCTGGCACTGGCCGTTGTTATTGGCACTGGTCTCGGGTATTGGATATTCGCGTGGGATAAATGCACCAATGAACACACTGACTGCTGCGGTTGAGTCATTATTGCAAAATAAAACTAAACCTCAAAAAGCGATTCTAATTATTCAATTAGAATAAATTCTCGAATTGAAATTTAAAAAAAGAGAGAAATAATTTTCAAAAGAAGAATAGTCATTTTCAAATTAATAATAATAATAATAATAATAGAATGATAATTTAGAGTAAAAATCACATGTTTTAATTACAATCATAATTATTTAATTTAATTGGATAAAATTATTATTTCTCGAAGTGATGCACTGAAAAAAAAATATTGTTTGTGCCGAAAAGTTATATTCGCCTGACAAAACAGAAAGTTTCCACCAAAATGATGATTTTTGTAGTAGTAATTGTTCTCGTGAGAAATTTATATGTTTCTCGAGTAAATACATTCGTTCTACAGACAATTTTTCCGCAGAGCTAATTTTTCTCTCAGTGTGATGATAGTATTTTTAATTTTAAGAAAGGAATTTTTTATTTTAGTCATTAAATCTTCATGAGTGCTTTTTTAATTGTTGGGACAATTTGTATCAATTTTATATTAAAATTCTGTTATTCAATAGTTGTTGTTGCTTTATTATAGTTATCGTATTTTCATTCCCATCTTACAAAGAGTTTTTTGAATATGCATAAATGTTTACTCGATTTAGATAAGTATTTTATTAACAGATAATGAAGTTATTTTCAACTGATAAAATAATTTTTTAATTATTATCATGTACTAATTCTTTAGGCGGATAAAATAGAGAGTTTATTCCATCGGAATGCATTCATTCTCCATGTGAGCGGTGCCAGATACCAAATCAGAGTTGATTATCGGTTATCTCGGCTGATTACACGAACGAGTCGGAAAAATGGAAAACATTGTAGTTGATGCGAGTGTTTTAGTGCTTCAGGTGAGTTTGAACGTTGGACATCGCGGACGGGATGGATAATACACGGAGCACTGAAGTAATTTGCTGTCAGGCGGGGTCAATATCTCTCGGTGCCCATGACGTATCCACGAGAGAAGTGATACTATCTTGGGACAAATTCAATACAAGGGTTTGGCTGGTTTTTGTGGTCTCTTTTGTCATCTGGGCGGTGGCGTTTTTCGCTGCGTATGCACCGAAGGATCGGGGGATGGATCATGGGGGGATGGATCATGGAGGAATGGATCACGGAGGGATGGATCACGGAGAAATGAATCATAGCGGAATGGATCATGGAGGCATGCACCATTGAGGTAATTAACAGCATATTTCGATACGAATGCATAAAATTAAAAAAACACTTTTTCCCCGAGTGTCAAACCCTATTTCAGCAGCGAAACGGTAAACAGATTCCCGTCGACTTGGCTCATCGCTGAGTTTTTGAGGAATATCTCCGAATCTAAGCAAAACAGCGGAATTTTCATCATGACCATTTTTGTAGCTCTCAATTTGCTGTATAAAAAAGGTTATTACAAAAAAATTGCTATCTCCCTTGGGTTCCGAGATATTCATCAAAAACTGAGCAATAGTCTAAATCGACTTGAACCTGTTTACCGCTTCGCTACTGATTTTTTCTCTACCGATAATTTATGAGAATATTTGACGGAGTGGAGCAGATTTGCTTGAGGGAAATTAAGCAACTTGATAGAAGGAAAATTAACATTTTTCACCAAAATTAAATTTCTGTCGTGATCATCAGAAATATCGCTAGAAGAATTCGAACTGTTGGCAGGAAAAAATATAATCTATTGTACGACAATCACTTGATCTGAGAGAACTCCATAGGTTTATACCATAGAAAGAATACATTGACGAGGAAAGAATATTTTTTTCCCAAAAAAAATGTCCCCTCGAAATTATTTAGTTTTGCCAAAAACACAGTTATCGGCGAGAAAATTGTAGTTTCCTCTTGAAATTACCATTTGTTTCATGGAAATTATAAGTGTTTATTGGACAAAAATATGCACTACTCAATAACATTCACTTGATAAAACCGGAGCCTCATATAATTCTCTGTAGAACGAATGTATTTATCCGAAAGACATATAAATGTCTCGCGAGAGCAATTACTACTACGAAAATTATCATGTTTTGGTGGAAGCTTTCTTTTTTGTCCGCAAGTAAATTGATTCAACACGAGAAAACAAATTTTTTCATTTCTCGTTTCAATTAAATGTCAAAAGTTATGTAATATTAATAACAGAATGTTGGTTGGCCTTGCCATTACAAAATGAACACGAGTATCAGAAAATTGTGTGAGAATTATCACATCAATGCTCGTAAAACGAAACGTCGACGATTCTCACAGTAATTTTCTCACACAATTCAATGTTCATTTCGTAACCGCGCATGGAGAGAAACCTCATCCATGCCCAACAAATGTTATTTGAGAGATAAGACCTAAATGTCCGAAATAGCCACGTAAAATTCCATTCAAATTCTCGATTGAAGAATTGCAGTTGACTCTTGTATTTATTTCCAGAAACGCGAGGTTCCCACAATAACGAAGCGATGCTGTGACTTGAATACTCCAGTCCTTCTATCTTTAGATTAATCCAAATGTACCTGGATCAATTGATTTTCTCCTTCTCCCGCAGCAGAACTAGAATAGCTCGAGACTTAAGGATGTTCACGTGGTTTGGGCCATTTTTTTAAAGTGGATAAAGCATTGTTCACAATATTTATTGAACATTTTGTTGAAATAATTTATTCAACAATGAAAAATTTGAAAAAGAGTCAAATGTGAAATTGAATAAAATATTGTTCACATTATTTATTGAACAACTTCCGGAAATAATTTATTCAACTGTGAAAAATTCGAAAAAGAGTCGAGTGAGAAACTGAATGAAATATTGTTCACAATATTTACGTAAGAAATTCCCGAAGAAATTTTCTTCGGCTATAAATTAAACTGTAAAAAATCTAAACAAGGGTCAAATGTGAAATAAAATGAAATATTGTTTACAAAATTTATTCAAGAACTTCACGAAAAAATGTATTTAACAATAAAAAATCTGAAAAAGGGTCAAATATAAAATTTAATAGAATATTTTTCACAATATTTACTCAACAAATTCCCGAAGAAATTTATAAATTTCTTCGGGAATAAATTCAGCAATGAAAAATCTGAAGTCAAATATAATTTGGAGTCAAATATTGAATTGAATAAAATATTGTTCACAAAATTGATTCAACAACTTCCCGAAAAAATCTATTCAACACTGAAAAATCCGAAAATGGCAAGATTTTTTCGCAAAAAAATGAAATCTTGCTACAAAAAAAATTGTCATCTTGAACGAAGTACTTGGCTATTCTCAACATCCCTCCACTCGTTCACCCACTCAATTAAATCCAAAATACTCAGAGAATGGCGTGAATTCACCTCCCGCGATCCCGCAGAAGCACGAAAGCGAGTGTAGTATCGGATTTTCCCATAACCAGAAGTAAGCCGAGAAAATTGCATTTGGGAATTGCCGCTGGCCTTCGGGGACAGCTAAATATCGGAAAAAGAACGAGTCCCCGACCGCGAGCGATGAAGAAAGGACGCGACACTAAAATAGCCGACGTCGCTTTGGGCACCGGTGATCCAAATATACATTTCGCGATCTCCTAAAATCCAATACAGGTGAAGTGACCGTCTTTTTCCGGTTGTGTGTCGTAAAACCTCGGCAAATCGTGAGTCTAGATGTGGCCCGGAGTGATATCCTGGATCGATCGGGGACCCGGAAGCTATTCATACGTCTTGAGTGAGCGGACGTAAATCCCCATTGTGTCCTGGATTTCGGCGGCGAGTGCATAAATTCCTCAAATGAAGAAATTTATGGGAAAAAGCGGTAGCACTGATTCTTCCTCAACGAAGGAATGACACATTTAAGTTGAATAAATTCTTCATTTGACATTTCTCTATTTATTTCGATGAAAATGTTCGAGTGAATTCATTTGAATGAAATCTGTTGATTTTTTTTATTCATTAAAGAAAAACCGTCAATTGTTTGTGAATAAAAATGTAAATAAACTTACTTATGAAAATGAATTGATAAATTAATTCTCTCAATTTGAATAAAAACTATTCATTTTTTAATGAATAAAAATGGAGATGAAAAAAAATTTTAGTTTAAATAAAAGTTTGATCAAGAGCTATTTTAACAGATATTTGAAATGTGAAGAGTTAAATTCCACAACTGGAAAAATGATCAATTAAAGAGTGTAAATGTTTTCAATTGAACTACAATTAATTATATTTAGCAAAATTACTATAAATTAGAAATTCTTTGCGTGATATTTCCAGAATTCTTGCTCGATAAATCCAACCAAATTTTTATTCTGTGCATTTTTCTCACGATTCGAATAATAAAATATATTATTCATAATTTAACAAATGTATATCCGTTGTTTTAAGGGCAGAATAAATTTATTTCTAGAAAAATTCTACTGATCCTTTTTCTCAAATAAATATCTATTTTCAAATGAAGGATTATTACATATTGATAAATTAATTCTCGTTATTTAAATAATAACTATTAATTTTTTAATGAATAAAAAGGCAGATGAAAATAAGTTTTACTTTGAATAAAAGTTTTCTCAAAAATATTTCAACATCAATAGTTGAATTTCAGGGCAGAAAAAATTATTAATTCAAGAACGAAAATGTTGAAAATTGAGATAAAATATATTACACTCAAGTGCAAATCACTGAGCATTAGAAAATTTATGTTTAATATTTCCAGATTTTTTTGCTTGATAAATTCCATAAAACTATACGGAATTATTTCATTCCATAAAATAAAATTTTCATCCCTTTTGTCATGTTTGAAATCGATTGATTGGTGAACAATAATCAAAATCGCCATTCATCCAAACTTCATGAAATTCCACATATTCATCAGCGCATTAAAGCTGCGAGTTGAATACGGAGTAAATTCCCTGGAAATAATCTCTCCCTCGCTGGATTCACTGCACCGACTCGGGACAACTTCTCCCACCGGCTGTTGAACTCGAAATTCTCATGAGGAATTGAGGTTCACCGGTTCGAACGGCCAATTTCC